GCCTGTGGGTCTGCCCCGAGGGGGAGAGCGGGGCCTCACTGGGGGGCTGACAGAGTGCCAGGGGGTGCCGGGCAGCTGCCCACTGTGCTGCCTACCCTCGGCTCCCTGCCAGCTCTGCAAGGGTCAGGGAGACAACCCACAGCCCTGCACCTACCACCACCCCCAAATTAAGATCCCCCTGCCACGGCCCTGTGGCACAACAGGGACGAGGTGGTCCCCCCCACAGCCTGGGGCAGGCAGAGCCGCGTCCTGCCCAGCCCGGGCACTCTCAGGACTGTCAGGAAAGGGAAGGCAGGGATGTGATGAGAGAGGGTGAGCAGCAGGCACAGGGGTGACCCCATAACCCGGTGGGGGACCTTCTAGCACCCCCAGACCTGTTTCCCAGGCTGGATCCAAGCCTCTGCTGCACTGTTCCCTTAGGAAAAAGCTCTGCCCTTGCTTGGACAGCCCTGCCCTCCTTTTCCCCGCCTTCCCCAGGGAAGGAAATCCTGGAAGAGGGGCCAGGTTGGGGAGAAGGGACCAGGAAAGGTAACAAGGGAGAGGGGTTGTGCGAATGTAGCAGCCCAGGGGGAGAAAGCCCATGCAGGCAGGGACTGTGGGCAGGAGGAAGAGCACTCAGCTGAGGCGTGAAGGGACCTCGGCAGCGAGTCAACCCTGACGTCACCTGGCACTTTCGGTTTCTTGGGAAGTGACGGAGCCAGAGCCTCAGATCTTCTGGGATGGCTGAAAGAGATGCCATGGCGGACCAGCAGTCTGTGGCCAACAACCCCACAGAGTTCTATGTCTTCGTTAAGACTTGGCAGGGCAAAACCTTTGCAGTGCCAGTGTCTCTGGATGACAGTGTGAGGGATCTTAAGGTCAAGCTGAACAAGTGTGACTCCTCCCTGACCCCCGAAAGAGGAATGTTGCTCTACAATAGCAGACAGATGGATGATGACCTGACCCTGCGACACTATGAAATCACACCCAACTGCTCTTTGTACCATACACTAATATGTAAGTGCAGGGTGGCCCAGGGAAAGTGGGTGAGGATCCGTCTGGAGGTGGGAGAGGGGTAGTGGATGCAGATCGAGGGGTGTCCCGAGGAGGGGCCTGCAGGCAGGAGCCTCCACAGGCGGGGAGGAAGGGGCAAGGTGGCTGGGGCTGTGTGTGCATCAGGGAGCTGCCAGAGCACACTTGCACTGGAAGGCGGGGAAGAGAGGGTCCAGAGATGCACCTATGCAGGAGGAAGGCAGGAGGGAGAGGAAGGACTCTGCTCATGGAAGCTGAGCAAGAGATCTGCTCTCTGCGTGGCAGCGGGGAAGGGTGGAGCAGTGGAAGCCGGGAGCACGTGCTGCCCTCTGGGGAAGGGCAGCTGGGTGGGATTCCTGGTGCCCGGCAGCTTGGTGCGAGTGGGCACATACCAACAGGAAGACGCTTCGTAGCAAAGGGGTGAAGAAGCGGGAGAGGACGGGCAGAGGATGGGATACTCCTCTGGACACGACCTGGCTCCTGAGCTCTCCTCTGCTTTGTGTTGCTGTTGCAGTGCGAGGCGGTGGTGTAGCTGTCAAACCTGCATTTTCAGGTAAGGTCATGCCCCGGCCCTCACTGACAACCTGGTGCAGCGGGGCTGGCGGAGCTGCGCCGTGGTGAGCAGCATGTCCTGGCCATGGTTCATGGAGGAGGATGTGGAAATTGTGGTAGATGTGGGAGCATGCGGTGGTACACGAGGGGACCAGTGTGGCTAATGGGATTGGGAAGGCTGGGTCACGGCTGCTTGAGGATGGCTTCTTCTCCCAAACATGAGGCAAAAATGACAATGTCTTCCAGTCGCAGACTTAGCTCTAAAGAAGCTGGTGGCACGCCCTCGCATATCTCTGACAGACGAGGCCTCGGGGAGTGCAGAGGTGAGGTCTCGCGGGACACGATGCCCGAGGCTGGGGTGCCTGAGTGAGGAGCACCGCAGGGCTGGGGAGGAAGGCACAGCTGCAGCACGCGGGCTCACAGCTGGCCCTGCAGATGGGGTTGCGGCACTGCCCATCGCCAACGCAGCACCGTGCCGGGTGGCCGGAGCTGGTGAATGCTGCCCTCGGTCGCAGGAGAGGGACTTCACCCTGCCGGCAGGCCGGGCGGGCGCAGCTCCTGCACCAGCCTGTTTCCTCCCTGCAGGAGTGGGGAACAGGGCCAGCACTACACCTGGTGCTGGGGATGTTGCTCACGCTCTCAGAAGACCTCTCCTCCTGCCGCCAGCAGGCAAGCACGGCTGGAGGGGAGAAATACAGCTTGTGAGTGCTTTCCTCTATGTTCCCCTGCAGGAGAGCTGTAGTGACAGGCTGAACCTGGGCCCACCACCGCAGGGAAACTGCTGGCACTGCCTGCGGGAGGTAAGGGCTTTGCTGGTCCTGGCAGGGCACTGTCACACCCAAAGGGACTGGCACAGCAGGGAGCCTCAGACTGACCCTGACTGTCACCTGGCAGGCTGGGTGTGCCTTCAAAACCTGTTATACACAGCAATTCTTCATCCTCCAGAAGAGTTCAATCCCTTTTGCTATGCTAACTCAGCACGCATTGCCCCAGTTTTCAAATTCGTGGGAAGACAAATTCCACTTTCTGGCATCCTAAATTTACTCTCACTGCTAAACATTTCATCTGCCTGTGGCCACTGTCCTCTCTGCTGAAACTCCGTGACAGAGAAGGAACAGCCCAGACTTCACTCACAAGAAAGTCATCAGCCAACAGTATTTTCTCCCTCTTGAAACAGAAACTTTCCTATCTGGAATTCCCATTTGCAAAATACATCCCAAAAATCAGTGGGTGAAACACGTGGTTTGGAGCTCTGGGAGCTGCTTTGCATGTCCACCCATTGTCTTTCCTACTGATGTATGGGGGATGCATGGACTAGCAGATGCCTTCCCCACCCCAGTGGCATCTACCCAAGCGGGGCCAAGTGTTCAGCCCTCCTTGCTTGTCCTGTGTGCAGGATTCCTCTTGGGCACTGCTATGGGGATCTGCTTTAAAGGGGCCATGAGCCTCCGACATGGCCAGTGTTTGTTTTGGATCTCAGGACAGAGGAGTTGCCAGTGAATGATTTTTCTGGCCTCCTCACTGATGGGAGTGAGGAGGATGATGCGTTTCTGGGCACCAGGCAGCAGCTGCTGATCCCCTGCTGCTGCTTGCAAGGCCCAGGCTGCCCTGCCAAGCTGCATCATGCTTCACCGTAAGCCCCAGCACGCCTCCTGCTAGCAGTGCCCAGTGCGCAACGCCCCAGCGGGCCACACTTGTGTTGCAGGATCTTCCAGAAGTGACGCCAGAGATAACCCAAGACTTTTTGAAGTACCGCACTGTGTACCGGTAAGAGCTGTCAGGTGAAGCGGGAGCACCTTCCAAAAGCCCAGTTCCATGGCATAAGCCTGTCATCCCTCCCACCTGCAGAGCTCACCTCCCCGGCGCAGGCGTCTTCCAGTGCTCCATCACAGGCCTCGGCTTCGAGGTGAAGTCAGCAGTGACCATCACCTACAGATACGCCACCTGGACCAGGCACCTGAGCGAGGCTGACCAGGAAATGTGGGTGCCCGCCGGACCCCTCTTCCACATCGAGGTGCAGCCCGGGGTTGTGCAGGCGGTGCGTCTCCCTCACGTCATCTGCCTGGAAGGTACAGCAGCCGCAGGGACCTGGGTCTCCAAAGCCACCATCCCTCAGCCTGTCCCCGCTCAGGGACGTCTCTGGCTCCTTGGAGACCTCTCTCCAGACGGGGCCAAGTTCTCCCTTCCCGACGATGTTCCCTGTACTCCCTTGTATTCCTCTGCTTTGCTTTGGCATCCTTCATCCTTCTTTCACTTTCTACCAAGCCTTCACTGTTGTCCCTTCTGCGGCTCCCGCTCCGCACCACCAACCCCTCCTCGCCCACCCTCTCCTCCCTGCTGCCGTGATGACCCCCCGGGCACTACCCCAGCCCAGCTGCAGATCAGTCCCCAGGCTCCCCAGAGAGTTTCTCAGCTCTTTGCACCTATGGCAGCTGCGGATGGCAACGGCTGTCACCGCTCTGTTTACCGGGACAGGACCTGCCCGGCTGTGCCCACCCACAGGCTGGACCGCCCCGGGGTGGGATGCAATAGGTCGGAGCTGGCCAGGGCAGAAGAATAAGTGGAATGAAATTGTCCATTTTCAACCAGGCAACATGAGGAGCCGCAAGGCTTGGATGTGGGTCCTCTGCTCTGCAGTGCTCTTAATGAGCCACTGCTAATGAGCGGAGAAGGCGTGTCAGCACCCGCAGCGGGGCTGCAGCGCGGGCGGGAGTTGAGTCCCCCCAGCACTGGCTGTGCTGGCCGAGGGGCTCTTCCTGGCAGACCGGTGCCCTCTTCCTGAATGGAGCCCACAGCAGAAGGAGTTTCTCGTGGCTCCATCTCCCACCCAGGGCCTGGCAAGCACAGCCATGTCAGCTGAAAAATGGCTCTACACACCCTTCACTGACACAGCTGTGCTAAGCACAATGCTTTAATTGTATTAATCTGTCAGGTTAATGGCAAAGTGTGCTCCAGAGATAATTCGGCATCAGCAGAGCTCTCCGACTTGGTCATGCCTAGGGATGTCACCTCAGGATGTTCAGGCTGCTCTCGTGACCAAAAACTAGAGTGACTCGTCACGCAGCGGCCGTCTGCCTCCCCGGTACACAGTGGTGTGGCGTGCGTAAGGAGGGTGCTGCACGGGTGCGGTCTGACTATTCCCACAGCGCCGAGCTGCCACCCTCAGATCTGCAGTTTTCTGACTGCCAAAGGCCTGCAACTCCCCGCCCAGCTCCAAAAGCCTGGGGCACACACGGGACCTAAAGCAGAGCATGTCACCGAGTGTGGACGTGTGTCCTTTCTGCTGCTAAAGTCTTAAAGAGAAGAAAGCAGCCTGAGAGGGTGCCAGGAAGACTAACCAGAACCTTGTTGCTTTTGCTGTCTCTTGCAGAAGTCACAAATACCAGCCTGTGCTCCATTGCCCATTTTAAATCTGGGAAGATGACCCTGGAGAGACCGACCAGATTGATCGCTTTCTCTGCTGTCCTGGAGAATCCCAGCTTCTCACTGCTTGGGGTGCTTTGGAGGAAGTTACGTTCGACCTTAAATTCACTCCCTATGCACTCCTTGGTGCTGATCTTCCAGCAGCTCAGTTGTGCAAATACAACTCTTCACCTCTACCTGATCCCAGATGACAACTCAGTGAAGCAGGTAAGATGGAGAGAGCTTGACTGGATTAAAAAAGGATGGCATCGGGGCTGGCTGCAGTAGCAGGGACTGGATTTGATAAGCAGAGATGCCTCCCGGTTTTTCTGCCAGCTGCCTCTGATTCACACGCAGTCCTGTGCCCCCATCTCCCACCGCAGGACAGCATCCTTGCTCCTGCCTCGCCCACCCTCCTCTTTTACAGATGCCTCCCAGAATCACTCACTCTTTTCGGCTGGGACAGCATGTCCTCGCACGAGCAAAGCCGTGGCACAGGATGCTCTGCAACGCGGAGCAGATGTAGGGCTTGCTGGCCACTGCCAGGCCCAGCGACAGATGGCTGCATACCAGCCGTTCTCCTGTGGCGGGGAAGCCCTCGCCCTCTTTCAGAGCGACAGTGCATTATCCTGCCCATGTTCCTGCCTGCATACGGTAGGTTCCTGCCTGTACCAGGCAGGATCTGCCTGGCCCCTGAAGCACAGCACTGCCTGTAATCCACACTCAACAGTCTGTTCTGAGTGGGTCAGTCTCTTCTCGTCTTGACTTTCCAAGGGCTACCTCCAGTTCACAGCTCTTTTCTTCCCCTCTCAAAAGTGATGCTTGATGTTTACAGGCCATTGAAAAGCAAGAAATGAATTGGAATTCAAAGTTTATTCCCAAGCCTCCTCCATTCAACCCTCTGTTCTTTGGCTGCATTTACCAGGTGACCAGCACAAATTCCGTGGTGATAATGCCTGACGTAAGTGGGATTGTTCCTTTTTATTTTGCAGTGAAACAGAAAATACAATAAGTCTTTGTCTTCAGCCATATTCTGCTACCAGAATCTGTCTTACTAGGTCTCAGAGCCAGAGGTGCAGAGAGCTGTACTGATTACAAGTGGCAAAGGTATTTCATGATACATGTCCCCAGAAAGAGCACAGAGCATACCCCAAAACCCCAGAGGGGCTGCATTTGTTTTTGCTTACGGCATAAATCATAATGTGTGAGTTTGTTGGACTTAGCTGCGTATCACGAAGGAATTGCAGAGACGTTGCCTCAGGTGTGGTCCAAGTCCTTCATCTCCTCTGCAAGGAGTTTCCTTCATCTTAGGAGCAGGACTGGAGAAAGACTTCCTCTCTGTGCCATAATGTGACATGTCTTCTTTCTCTATTGAAACTCCGTTTGAGGATTTCTGATTTTGAGCACTATTGCCCTGTGGCAATCAGATTGCGATGGCTGGGAAAATCTAGGAAGATTTGACCATTTAGTCCTTGTGGCTACTTGTTTTACACAGGAGTTTGTGACATCCTGAGAGCAGCTGATGACAGTTCAATGGCACATTCATGGCTGGTTATGAAAATCTCCTTTCATGGGTCTGCACTGCACCATAATCATGAAAAGGGAATCAGAGAAACTTAGGTTGGATGGGACCTCAGGGGGTCTTTGGTCCAACCTCTTACTCAAAGCATGTGAGTTTTAAAGTTACATCAAGGTGCTTAAGGCCATGTCCAGTCAAGGTTGAATATCTCCATGGATGGAGATACCACAGCCTCTCTGGGTTTCTGGTGCAGTGTTGTAACACCCTCATTGTGATTTTTTTCCCCCTATTGTCTAATAGGAATTTCCCTTGCTGCAGCCTGTGCCTTTTGCCTCTTGTCTCATCGCTGTGCACCTCCAGGAGGCTGGCTCTGTCATTTCTTTAGACCCCCTTTACATAATTAAATACAGTGATTAGTTCTGCCCATGACTTTTTCTTCTCCATGTTGAACAAAGCCAATTCCCTTTGCCTCTGCTTGCATATTGTGCACTCCAGCCTGGAGCTGACCTTGCTATGTCTTTGTCTTGCTAAGGTCTATGTCTCTCTTGTACTGGGAAGCCCCTTTGCTGCCAGGGCGCACTGCTGACTCCTGTTCAACTTGCATGCCCAGCAGGACTCCCAAGTCCTTCCCTGTGATGCCCCTTTCTGTATCCACCCAGTGCCCAGGCTCTTGTCTGGTGTGGGGCTATTCCATCTCAGGTGCAGGACTCTACATTTGCTTTTGCCAAATGGCGTGAGCTTCCTACCAGCAAAGTTCTCCAGCCTTTCCAGGTTCCTCTGAATGCCATCCCTCCCCTCCAGTTTATTCATTGCAGCTACAACCCTGCTACTGAGCTGAGTGCAGCCTCAAACAGCCAGGGCTTTCAGCTTAATTGGGAGACAGTCTTAGACCTGTGAATCACGAGGTAGGGTTTGGTTTTTCTACTTCCTGGAATGACCAGGTAGTAACTGGGCACTCTGCCTTGAAAAGCAGTTTGAAAGATGACACAGCCACTCTCTCAGCAGTGTCAAGTAAAAGCAGTAGAAGCCTTAAGTTGTGACCTGGGAAGCTGAGGACAAATGTTAGGAAGAATTTTATCACTCGGTGGAGATGCAGCCATCAGAGAAGCTCATGAATCTCTGCTTTTCAAGGTTTTCAGTACTCAGCTAGACAAAGCCCCAGCTGAGCAGATCTAGACGTGACATTGGTCCATCTTGAGAGTCCTTGTGAGACAGTCCTGAAGGGCAAAAGGG